CTTCAATTTCAGTTCTTCAGTCCCCAAAAATCTGGAATTATTAGGTTTGGCCAGAGAAAAAAGCTACAAGAGGGAGCAGCTCAATCTTGATTTCAAATATTTGGACTCTAAATTTGTGTTGCTTTCAAGACTGAATACTGAAGCTCTGTTCAGCCCTTCATGATGATTTGCAAGACAGTCCAAATCTCTGCAGCAACCCTCTGCAAAAGACTTTCTCAGAATATCCGGGGATCCACAGGGTTTTGAGAACACTCCTCCATTATGCATACATTAGAAATGCGTTGGGGCCGGGCGCGGTGGCTCAAGCCTGTAATCCCAGCACTTTGGGAGGCCGAGGCGGGTGGATCATGAGGTCAAGAGATCGAGACCATCCTGGTCAGCACGGTGAAACCCCATCTCTACTAAAACAATAACAAAAATTAGCTGGGCATGGTGGCGCGTGCTTGTAATCCCAGCTACTCAGGAGGCTGAGGCAGGAGAATTGCCTGAACCCAGGAGGCGGAGGTTGCGGTGAGCCGAGATCGGGCAATTGCACTCCAGCCTGGGTAACATGAGAGAACCCCCCCCAAAAAAAAAAAAAAAAAAAAAAAAGAAATGCGTTGGTACCGTTATCCCACACCCTTCTTTACTCACCAAGCTTCCCCAGCTACCAGCTCAGGATCATACTCTGCTCTCACAACATGCCCAGTACCTGACTTCCAGGAATCAGAACTTCTTCCCCTTTATGTGAACCTCATTTTCTCAGGTCTTAGGCATTTTTTTTTTTTTTTTTTTTTTTTTGAGACATAGTCTCTCTCTCTCTCTGTCAAACAGGCTGGAGTGCAACCTTGGGTCACTGTAACCTCTGCCTCCCGGGTTCAATCGACTCTTGTGCCTCAGCCTCCTGAGTAGCTGGGATTACAGGCATGAGCCACCACGCATGGCTAATTTTTTTTTTGTATTTTTAGCAGAGATGGAGTTTCACCATGTTGGCCAGGCTGTCTCGAACTCCTGACCTCCAGTGCTTGGCCGTGTTTCCTTCCTTTATATGGCTTTTTTTTTTTTTTTTCCGGAGACAGAGTCTTGCTGTCGCCCAGGCTGGAGTGCAGTGGCGTGATCTCGGCTCACTGCAACCTCTGCCTCCCGAGTTCAAGTAATTCTTCTGCCTTAGCCTCCTGAGTAGCTGGGACTACAGGCATGCACTACCACGCCTGGCTAATTTTTGTATTTTTAGTACAGACGGGGTTTCACCACGCTGGCCAGGTTGGTCTTGAACTCATGACCTCATGATCTGCCTGTCTCGGCCTCCCAAAGTGCTGGGATTACAGGCATGAGCTATCATACCCAGTCTATAGGGTTTTAAATTAATTATTTATGTGTGCAAACATTTTCATTGGGCCATAATATTGGACAATCAATCTTATTACTCAGTAGCCACATTTCAAAGTGATTACTCAATCCTTAGAGTCCTGCAATGACCCTCCTCCCCTTTTATTGACATTTCCCAATAACTCCCTTTTAATTATCAAATCTTTACACAGCAGATTTTTCTACATAGAACCTATTATACTTCAAGGGAGTACAGGCAATGGTAAGTCAAATAGGATGCTGTGCCTCTTCTCTAAAGGGCCTAGGCTGGTGCGGTGGGTGGCTCACACTTGTAATCCCAGCATTTTGGGAGGCTGAGGCAGGAGGATGCTTGAGCTCAGGAGGTTGAGACCAGTATGGGTAATATAGGGAAACCCTGTCTCTACAAAAAAATACAAAATTAGCCAAGTGTGGTGGCATGCACCTGTAGCCTCAGCTACTTGGGAGGCAGAGGTGGGAGGATCGCTTGAACCTGGGAGACAGAAGCTGCCGTGAGCTGAGATTATGCCATTGCACTCCAGCCTGGGTCACACACACACACACACACACACACACACACACACTCTCAAATATATAAATATTTGCAAATATATACTTGCAATATATATTTTATAAATTGCACTCCAGCCTGGGTGACACTCTCTCACACACACACACTCTCAAATATATAAATATTTGCAAACATATGCTTGCAATATATATATTATAAATATAAATTGCACTCCAGCCTGGGTGACACACACACACACACACACATGCATGTTCAAATATATATAATGCCGGGTGCGGTGGCTCACGCCTGTAATCCCAGCACTTTGGGAGGCTGAGGCGGGTGGATCACGAGGTCAAGAGATCGAGACCATCCCGGTCAACATGGTGAAACCCCGTCTCTACTAAAAATACAAAAAATTAGCTGGGCATGGTGGCGCGTGCCTGTAATCCCAGCTACTCAGGAGGCTGAGGCAGGAGAATTGCCTGAACCCAGGAGGCGGAGGTTGCGGTGAGCCGAGATCGTGCCATTGCACTCCAGCCTGGGTAACAAGAGTGAAACTCCGTCTCAAAAAAAAAACAAAACAAAAAAACAAACAAACAAAAAAACCCAAATATATATAATGTAAATGGCATCCATACAGAATGACCAGTTTTTAAAAAGAATGATGTAGAACTAGAAATTCTAATATGGTAAGATATTCAAGATATGCTAAATATAAAAATCAAATTGCAGGTCATTAGTATAACATGAGCCCATCTGAGTGTGCGCGTGTGTGTGTGTGCATGAGTGATGGGGAAATTCTTTGCAATGATTACCTCTACAGAGGGGACTAAGAGGTAAGGGGGAAAAGGTATATAATACCATTCTTTATTGTTTTAATTTATCATTTTGTGTATTACTTTCATAATAAAAAAGCTACTATAAAATTTTCATTTAATCGAAAGGATTAATAGTGAACATATGCAATGTTTTAAAGCAAACCGAATAATCACAATGTTCTATCACTATGCCGGTTTTTATCACTGGCACAATAAAATTAGTTTGTAGCTAAAGAAAGCCTAAGAGATTTTCCGGTAAATTTAAGTATCTATAATTCCAAAGTTGTATAAATTCATTTCCATAAATTTGAAGACTACTCTAAAAAACTCTGACTTCAGGTAAAAATAGTTAAGTGTAATTTATAGTCAATATATTAATAAAGGTCTGGCATGGTGGCTCATGTCTGTAATCTCAACACTTTGAGAGGCTGACACGGGAGGACTGCTTGAGCCCAGGAGTTCAAGACCAGCTTGGGCAACATAGTAAGACCCCGTCTCTACAAAAAAACATTAGCAGGGCTTTGTGGTTTGTGCCTATAGTCCCAGCTACTTGGGAGGCTCTGAGGCAGGAAGATCACTTGAGCCTGAGAATTTGAGGCTGCAGTGAGCTATAACTGTGGCACTGCACTCCAGCCTGGGTGACAGAGGGAGATATAATTGTTTTTTTGAGATGGGGGTCTCACTCTGTCACCTAGGCTACATACAGTGCAGTGGCATGATCATAGCTCACTGCAGCCTCTAACCCTGGGCTCAAGCAATCACTGCCATGCCTAGCTAATTTTTTTAACTTTTTGTAGAGATGGAGGTCTTAGCCCAGGCTGGTCTTGAACTCCTGACCTGGCCTAAAGTGATCCTCCCATTTTGGCCTCCCAAAGTGCTGGGTTTACAAGCATGAGCCACTGTGTCTCATCTATATATACAATTCTATGCATCATTTGCAAGAAGAGGCACTATGCACTGATTTGGAAGAAACCTTAAAAGTCACCTAGTCTTGGGGCCGGGCGTGGTGGCTCACGCCTGTAATTCCAGCACTTTGGGAGGCTGAGGCGGGTGGATCACAAGGCCAGGAGTTCAAGACCAGCCTGGCCAACATAGTGAAACCCCATCTCTACTAAAAATACAAAAATTAGCCAGGCATGGTGGTGTATGCCTATAGTCCCAGCTACTCTAGAGGCTGAGGCAGGAGAATCACTTGAAACCGGAAAGCAGAGGTTGCAGTGAGCCATGATCATGCCATTGCATTCCAGCCTGGGCGACAGAGCAAGACTTCCTCCAAAAAAAAAAAAAAAAAAAAAAAAGCCACCTAGTGTTGGCTAGGCACAGTGGCTCACACCTATAGTCCCAGTACTTTGGGAGGGTGAGAAAGGAGGATCACTTGAACCTAGGAGTTCAAGATCAGACTGGGCAACATAGACTTCATTTCTATATTTTATTTTTTTAAAAAGAAATTCTTTTTGAGACAGAGTCTTTCTGTGTCACCCAGGCTGGAGTGCAGCAGCCTGATCTCAGCTCACTGCAACCCCCATCTCCCAGGTTTAAGCAATTCTCATGTCTCAGACTCCCAAGTAGCTGGGATTACAGGTGTGCACCACCATGCCCAGCTCTGTACTTTTAGTAGAGACAGGGTTTCACCATGTTGGCCAGGCTGGTCTGAAACTCCTGGCCTCAAGTGATCTGCCTGCCTTGGCCTCCTAAAGTGCTGGGATTACAGGCCTGAGCCACTGCACCCAGCCTCATTTCTATATTAACAAAACAAAACAGGCCGGGCGCGGTGGCTCAAGCCTGTAATCCTAGCACTTTGGGAGGCCGAGGCGGGTGGATCACGAGGTCAAGAGATCGAGACCATCCGGGTCAACACGGTGAAACCCCGTCTCTACTAAAAATACAAAAAATTAGCTGGGCATGGTGGTGCGTGCCTGTAATCCCAGCTACTCAGGAGGCTGAGGCAGGAGAATTGCCTGAACCCAGGAGGCGGAGGTTGCGGTGAGCCGAGATCGTGCCATTGCACTCCAGCCTGGGTAACAAGAGCGAAACTCCGTCTAAAAAAAAAAAAAAAAAAAAAAGAAAACAAACCGTAGCTATCTAGTCCAACTTTCCCACCCAAACACCTAGGCATAAAAAAAAAAAAAAAAAAATCAAAACCAATAGCAGCCTGCTGAGGAGAGAACCAGTACTAGGAATACAAGACAACCAGAAATGTCTCCTCCTCAAAATGATGACATCTGGTAATCATTCACTAAAAAGTATTTTGGTGTAATATAACAAGTTGCTCAGGTCAGTTTTAAATCATTGACTTAATTTTCTGGCTTCAAAGTTTTCAATGTGTTTCAAACCAAGAGAAATTAGACCATGATGCAGATTAATTTTAATGAACAAAAATCTCTGTATAAAAAACATTTAAACCTTATCAAACGCTTTAAACACACACACACACACACACACACACACACACACACATCAATACACAATCTTAGAACATTATCGTTGTTTACCCACATAACCTGTAAAAGTATTTCTGGATAAAACTTACAAATGAAGAAAGAAAATCCATGATGCTACACTTACACACACACACACACACACACACACACACACTCTCTCTCTCTCTCTCTCTTAAGGAAGAATGAAAACATGGTAAGAGTGTGAACAGGAAGGGAATGCATCTTTTTCTGTAAAGCTTATATTAAAAACACTGCATGAGTAAAATAACTTCCTATACCAAGAGAAGATGCAGAGAGGGGAAACAGAAAGCAGGGATGAGACTAACTCATTAATAAATAGTTTGAGAATGTCCTTCAAGGATGGTGAATGTGGGAGTTACAGATAATCCTGAGTTGTCACCACCTCAAGTTCTTCGATTCTGATAACTGATGACACTTAAAAAGCATCTATGTATTCATATTTTGTAGGTCTTGATTTGTTCGACATTATTTAGGTGTGCTTTGCCTCTTTCAGTGGTTAATTCCTCAGTTCATACTCAGTGTTATGTCCTACTCACCAGAAGGGCCACAGTAATAACTGAACACAGGCTATAAAGGTGGCATATAGAGGGTGAATAAGAAAGGCCAGGTTGCCTGGTTTGGATTCAGCTTCTGGTACCTGGCAAGCTACTTAGCCACTGTGTCTCCATTTCCTCATCTTCGGTTGTGGGTCACTATAGCACCTACTTCAGATAGTGTGATTAGGGAGATTAAACAAGATGATCATTCAAAACATTTATCACACTGCCTGATCAGTAAATGTTAGCCGAAAACACTATTAGTTGTAGTATTACAGGGCAACCAAAAGAAAAATTCCATCTCTGTATTTTTCCTCACTGATAAAAATTTCAGGGACAAACTGTGGCAAAAAGCAGAGATACCAGTACATTTGAGACCAGTACAAAGAGATTGAAGACCTCATCTTATGAATATAGATACCCATTTTTATATAAGAAAAAAATTACATGGCTCCATATCACAAAATTTAAGACCTTTCTGTTAAACATCACACAATTCCCATCATCATTATGCCCTACATACAATCTAAATGATGTAGAGTTCCTATTGATATTCAATAACAACAAGGTCCAGAAATTTTAACTAAGAAATAGCTGCAGAACTGCATATTGGGCAGTAATCTGTGTGTGCCACAAGAGCTTGGGCCAACACAGAGGGCCAGGATTCTGCCTCCGTGGCCTAGACTCCTCCACACACAGTCAGATGAGTCAGGTTCCTGCAGACCTTCAAATCTCCATTCATATCTCCCTTGGAGAGGGCCGTTTTCAGAGGTGAAGAAGCAGCAGCCACTGAGTACGAAATGCCGCCCTCCTACTTGAGTATAATATGATAGCTATCATTGGTTTCTGCTGTTAAAAAGAGAGAGAGAATCATCTTTAGTCATCTCTAAAGCACAGTAGGAGAAACAAAATATGGTAAGATTCTTGTGAGAAGGGGAAAAAAAAAGCAGGACAAACAGCAGCATACTTATTAATAAGCACAGAATCCTTTTAATAAATAGGCATTATAAAAACAACATGCCAGGCAGGCGGATCATGAAGTCAAGAGGTCAAGACCATCTTGGCCAACAGGGAGAAATCCCATCTCTACTAAAAAAAAAAAAAAAAAAAAAATAGAAAAATTAGCTAGGTGTGGTGGCTTGCGCCTATAGTCCCAGCTACTCCAGAGGCTAAGGCAGGAGAATTACTTGAACCTGAGAGGTGGAGTTTGCAGTAAGCTGAGTTTGCGCCACTGCACTCCAGCCTGGTGACAGAACAAGACTCCGTCTCAAAAAAAAAAAAAAGAAAAAAAAACATGCCTCGATATCCTCAACTGTAATGGAAGATGGAAGAGAATGGCAAAAAGCCGGGCTGGGTGCAGCGGCTCACACCTGTAATCTCAGCACTTTAGGAGGCCAAGGTGGGTGGACAGCTTGAGGTCAGGAGTTTGAAACCAGCCTAGCCAACGTGGGGAAACCCCATCTTTACCAAAAATACAAAAATTAGCAGGACATGGTTGTGCGTGCCTGTGATCCCAGCTACTCGGGAGGCTGAGGCAGGAGAATCACTTGAACTCAGGAGGCAGAGGTTGCAGTGAGCCGAGATCGTGCCACTGCACTCTAGCCTGGATGACAGATCGAGATTCTGTCTCAAAAAAAAAAAAAAAAAAAAAAAAGCTGACTTATACAAAGGAACAAACTCTAATAATGTCACTTTCTTTATTAAAATAAAGAAAAAAAATGCCTCAATTTCCTCAACTATAATGGAAGATGGAAGAGAATGGCAAAAAGCCAGGCTGGGCACAGGGACTCAGGCCTGTAATCACAGCACTTTGGGAGGCCGAGGTGGGTGGATCGCTTGAGGTCAGGAGTTCGAGACCAGCCTGGCCAACGTGGTGAAACCCTATCTCTACCAAAAATACAAAAATTATGGTTGATACTTTCCCTATCTCTCCTCAAAGAAGTAAAGTATGTACTTTACCTAGCAGTAGTAAAGCTGTTAAACTGCTTAGAGAAAGGTGTTTATCTTACTACTACCTTTCATTGTGTCCAGAATAAAACATGCTTCTTCCTGAAAGTTCTGTATCATCTGAAAATATCAAGAAAACTTGTGATTATTTAAATGAAAAAGAACCCCTTTATATTCCTGTGTCTCTAAGGACCACCCCACATCCAGGGGGATTTAGATGGGAGGCTTTACAGGCCACAGATAGTGTATTTCTTAAATATCTATAGAGTCATAAAAGTTTCTTCCTCCCAATTTTCAAAAGCCTGCTTCGCAAACTTTTTTCCCCTTCCATTTGGTTTTTAAATATTAAAAAGCTAAGCAGATTAGAACAGTTATCTTAAAGCTAGGTATGCATTTCCCTGGGTTAACCCCAAGACTCTCCAAGGAGTACACAGACACTAATGCGTGCATACAGGAGAACTAACTTCCATGTCTTCAACAACTATATGTGCTCTTTCCTATAACTTCTTTAATTTTCCTTCCCCATTTTCCCTTCTCAAACTCCCTTCTCCCATTTTGCAAGATAAAGGCATAAGTTTCAAGCTCCCAGAATCCTAACAAGGTGCTCTGGCCCACGATGTAAAAGCTTCAGGTGCCAAAGTGGAGTGACAAAGGTGAACTCTAATAACTGGGCAACAAACTCTTTTATGAGTTTGGTTTCTAACTCTTTCCTTTCACTAGAATTATGGAGTAACCTAATCACAAATTATCATATGATAGAGGATTCAAAATGATTTTTTGATATCACTATGTAATTTTTTAAACTTCATTTTGTGAAGTTTAAAATAATCTAATGACATTGTTATTACAAAACTCTATCCATTCCTATCAATTTATGTGAGTCAAGTCCCACAGCATTTATATCTAGAGGAAAAAAACAGAATAAAATCGATGCTGAAATCCTATGTCATTCTAGCAATCAATAGGCAGTATTCATCTACAAAGGAAATAATTATGTGCAAGGGTACAGGTAGGGAATGAAACAATTTCATCCAACTCATTCATAGATATACCTGTAATAATTTTTTTCTTTTCTTTTCTTAGCTCACCACAACCTCTGCCTCTGCCTCCACCTCCACCTCCCAGGTTCAAGTGATTCTCCTGCCTCAGCCTCCCAAGTAGCTGGGATCACAGGTATGCGACACCAAACCCTGCTGATTTTGTATTTTTAGTAGAGATGAGGTTTCTCCATGTTGGTCAGGCTGGTCTGGAACTCCCGACCTCCGGTGATCTGCCCGCCTCAACCTTCCAAAGTGCTCGGATTACCGGCAAGAGCCACCACGCCTGGGCTTCTTAATGTTTAATAATTACTTATTAAAACATGTAGCATATTTACATTATTTTAATCAATTGTAAATTATGATAATTCCATTCATAATTTTTAAATTTTTTATTTAAAAACTTTGTTTCAAACAAATATAGTAGGATAATAAAAGATGTTTGTGCATAAAAATATGCTACAGTAGGCTGGGCGTGGTGGCGCACGCCTGTAATCCCAGCACTTTGGGAGGCTGAGGTGGGTGGCTCACGAAGTCAAGAGATCGAGACCATTCTGGCCAACATGGTTAAACCACATCTCTACTAAAAATACAAAAATTAGCTGGGAGTGAAGGTGTGTGCCTATAGTCCCAGCTACTCGGGAGGCTGAGGCAGGAGAATCACTTGAACCATGGAGGTGGAGGTTGCTGTGAACTGAGATCGTGACACTGCACTCTAGCCTAGAGACAGAGTGAGAGCTCCATCTCAAAAAAAATAAAAATAAAAGTTACAGTAAGATGGCCAGCCACAGTGGCTCACACCTGTAATCCCAGCAGTTTGGGAGGCCGAGGTAGGCGGATCAACTGAGGCCAGGGGCTCGAGACCAGCCTGGCCAACATGGCAAAACCCTGTCTCTACTAAATATGAAAATTAGCTGTGTGTGGTGGCATACACCTATAATTCTGCTATTCGGGAGGCTGAGGCAGGAGAATCACTTGAATCCAGCAGGTGGAGGTTGCAGTGAGCTGAGATTGGGCCACTGCACTCTGGCCTGGGCAACAGAGCAAGACTCTGTTCCAAAAAAAAATTTTTTTTTAGGAGGAAAGCAAGCAAAAAGTATGAAACCCTCTGATCTAGAAAACAGAACACTCTGCCCCAGGAGAACTGCTCTTGCTCTGTGTGCTGACAAATTAATCATCATCTGGTAATTCGACTGTACTGAAAAATCTACCTCATCACTGATGAGCACATGAATTCCTGTTGGCCCCTGCTTGTAAATCTGGCTGATCTGGCAAGGGGAAATGCTGAAAAGCTGAGCAATTTTTTCTGTCAATTCAACAGCTGTCAGTTCTTCTAGATAGATAGCATGGTAAACTGCAAAAGGGAGAGAGCAACAGCAGTCAGTACAAAGTTTGTCTGCTCTTACAGGTAACTTGATCACTAGGAATGCCCACTTCTCTGAAGAACTCAGAAATCAGACTGCCTAAGTTCAAATTCTGGCTCAACCACTTGCAGCTGTGTGACCTAGGGCAAGTTATTTACCCCTAGGCCTCATTTTTCTCACATAAATACTGGTGATAACAATAAAATCCTCTGCAAAGAGGAGATATTAGTTGTAAATATTAAAGCATATAAAAAGTGTTAGGAATAGCACCTGGCTGGGCGTGGTGGTTCACATCTATAATCCCAGCAATTTGGGAGGCTGAGGCAGGGAGATCGATTGAGCCCAGGAGTTCAAAACCAGCCTGGGCAACATAGGGAGATCCCATCTCTACAATAAATAAAACAATTAGGCAGACATGGGCAATGAATCATGATTGCATCACTGTACTTCAGCCTGGGTAGCTGAGTGAGACTCTGTCCCAAAAAAAAAAAAAAAAAAAGCCCCTGCCATATAGTAGGAGTACAAATAAACGCTAGTGATTATTGTTACTTCTTGCAGACGGTGAATCTACTGTCTGATAGTTTCCCATCACAGATGCCCATAAGTTATCTCTTCACCTTTGTTCATATCTGTCCTGGTCTGTCCAGAACAACCTACCGAAGAAAGTACCATTTGAGTCTCCATCCTCATGCTTCTGTTGCTGTTGCTGCTGCTGTTGCTGCTGCTCCCTCAACTGCAGTGATTCCTGACAAACATAAATGGTTAACCTTGGACGCACCATCCTAAGGGGAGGAAAAAGGCTAATTAGTCTTACATTCTTTATGGTAAGCACAATAAAAAGAAGGGAGAAACTGTGTTTCTACATTAATAGTACAGAGCAGATGAAAAGTAGAAGCTCATTGGCCAAACGCAATTAATTCACTATGTTTTATTAGTTCCCCAGTGGTAGGGCTTTTTTCCTTAAGTGGAATTAGTTCCAATATGAGGCATCAAATAAACCTCTGAACTTGTGGCTTTTCCTGAAGACTCAGGTCTAGCAATCTTTTTTTTTTTTTTTTTTTTGAGACGGAGTTTCACTCTTGTTACCCAGGCTGGAGTGCAATGGCACGATCTCGGCTCACCGCAACCTCCGCCTCCTGGGTTCAGGCAATTCTCCTGCCTCAGCCTCCTGAGTAGCTGGGACTACAGGCACGCGCCACCATGCCCAGCTAATTTTTTGTATTTTTAGTAGAGACGGGGTTTCACCATGTTGACCAGGATGGTCTCGATCTCTTGATGTCGTGATCCACCCGCCTCGGCCTCCCAAAGTGCTGGGATTACAGGCTTGAGCCACCGCGCCCGGCCAGGTCTAGCAATCTTAAGCCCACATTCTCACATGAAAACAATCAGCTGTTCTCCTTACATGACACATATATTCTTCACTATACCCCAGTCTTGACTGCCATTCATTTACATTACCTGTACATTCTCTGTAGTCATTTGAGTTTGTGATTTACGGTGTAAAAGTTAGAAATAGTCAAGATATATAAGCCACTGTCTTGTGGGTCAGGTTCAAGATACACTTTTTACTCAAAAATGCCAAAAGAGTAAACTAGATCATCTTATTTTTCTCATTACCTTCTCCTAACTAGCCTAAGTCCTTTTTCTGTTCTTCTCAGAGAAAGGTATTCAACTACCTCTTGATCTGATCATCTTATTCTTTCTTATTTCTAAACACTCTTTAGATAATATGCTTAAAAGAATGAAAGATCAATTATTTTTCCCCACGTCATCAACCCCTACTTTCACTTCTTTCCTTAAAATTTTCCAAGATTCACCGGGCACAGTGGCTCACGCCTATAATCCCAGCACTTTGGGAGGCTGAGGCAGGTGGATCACCTGAGGTTGGGAGTTCAAGACCAGCCTGACTAACATGGTGAAACCCCATCTCTAGTAAAAATACAAAATTAGCTGGGAATGGTGGCGCATGCCTGTAATCCCAGCTACTTGGGAGGCTGAGGCAGAAGAATCGCTTGAACCCAGGAAGTGGAGGTTGCGGTGAGCCGATATCATGCCACTAAACTCTAGCCCAGGCAACGAGAGCAAAACTCCATTTCAAAAAAAAATTTTTTTCCAAGATTCAACACCCCCCCTTTTTTTTTTTAAATTAGAAAGACAGGGTTTCACCATATTGGTCTCGAACTCCTGACCTCAGGTGATCTGCCTGCCTCAGCCTCCCAAAGTGCTGGGATTACAGGCGTGAGCCACCACGCCCGTCTCAACACCCCTTATGGTGTAGACAAAAACAAATATGACTGGGTACGGTGGCTCACATCTGTAATCCCAGCACTTTAGAAGGCCAAGTCGGAAGCATTGCTTGACTTCAGGAGTTTGAGACCAGCCAGAGCAACATGGCAAAACCCCACATCTACAAAAAGTACAAAATTAGGTGGGCATGGTGGTGCACGCCTGTAGTCCCAGCTGCTCAGGGAGCTGAGGCAGGAGGATTGCTTGCACCCAGGAAATCAAGGCTGCAGTGAGCCGTGATCACACTACAGCACTCCAGGCTGGGTGACAGAGCAAGACCCTGTCTCAAGAAACCCCCCCCCCAAAAAAAAACCCAAACCAAAAATAAATACTGCGCAATCTGTTTTTCTGTTTAGTTATTGATTTGGTTCTGCTGCCATTGACCTAAATGCCTTCTTCATCAATGTTACTACTACCTATTTAAAATGGTAACTCCCAAAAAAAAGTTCGCAAACTACTGCGTATTTTAACAATTGCAGGCAGACACTCAATTCCTACCCACACTTAAGAATGAGCACTTCTCTAGTTAAAACCAACTTGGGGAGAAAAAAACCAACTTCGGGCCTTTGCACCTGTTGTTCCTTCTGCCTAGAACAATTTCCCTTCCTGTGACTCTAGAGCTGCATCCTTCTCAGAACTGAGCTTAAATATCCCTCCTTGGAGAGGTGCTTCCTGACCACATTCTGGGCACTCTGTAGCCCACAACCTTGTTTTTTGCTTATTTGTTTTCTTTTCCTTCAAAGCTCTTATCCCTATCCACAATACTTCCTTATCTCACTCCCCGTTAGAAAGTAAACTCCCTAACAACTGCCACCCTGTTTTGCTCACCAATAAATTAATATTCCCAGAGCCTACCATAGTACCTGGCTCATGAAAAGGATGATGAATTTTCATTGCAAAATTCATTCACCTGGAAATGAAAAATGGAATATCATGGGAAATTCCCTGGACAAAGTGTAAGAAAAGATTTTTAAAAATCTTTATTTGGTACATAGCTGACATTTTAAAAAAATGTGTATTTAGCTGTGTAGAGTATTGTGAAGAATTCCCAAATCGAAATCCATTTGGAATCCAACCTCATTGGTATTTTAACACTAATTACATACCGGCCTTTTAATGCATTAAAAAGTCTGATTCCATCTGCAGGGCCACAGATTTGGATCACATCATCTCTAGTTAATTTCAATAAATCTGCCCCTGGAAAAAATATAAGAAAATGGATGATAAAGGCAAATATTCTCTTTGTTAATGACTATTAAAATGGGCTCTATTATAAGGACATCTCATTACCAGAATGTTACAATCCATAATTTTCTTCATGGCATATAAGGCCCTTCAGGACCTGGCCTCTACCTCCTCTCCCATCTCAATTCCCCTCAATTAACTTCCCCACTTAACCCTATGATTTCATCATACTGATGATGTCTAATGAGCAAGTTGTTCTTTCTGCCTGAAATATCCTTCCATTATCCAGGCTGGGTGCAACATGCCTGTAGTCTCAGCTACTCGAGAAGCTGAGGTAGCAGGATTGTTAGAGGCCAGTCGATTGGCAGGAGTTCAAGACTGGCCTGGGCAACATAGCAAGACCCCATCTCTTAAAAAAAAAAAAAAAAAAAAAAGAAAAGAAATCCTGTGGCTCACGCCTGTAATCCCTGCACTGTGGCATGCCGAGGTAGGCGGATCACCTTAGGTAAGGAGTTCGAGACCAGCCTGGCCAACATGGTGAAACCCTGTCTCTACTAAAAATACAAAAATTAGCTGGGCGTGGTGGTGGGTGCCTGGAATCCCAGCTACTCGGGGGCTGAGGCAGAGGAATCACTTGAACCCAGGAGGTGGAGGTTGCAGTGAGCCAAGATGTGCCTCTGCACTCCAACCTGGGCAACAGCAAGATTCTGACTCAAAAATATATATATACTGGATTCATCTCATGTGTCACATATGTTCCCCAATACCAGATCCTCCCCTGAAGGTTTTACTGTCATTATCAGAACACTTATCTACAGCATCACAACTATTTATCAGTTTTTCAGAGTTTTATTTTTATCTCATTAGCTGTGTCTTGTTTTGGTGTTTTTTCGGACAGATGATTAATGGGCTATTTGATCAGGAAGTATGCCTCATCCATTTGTGTATTCCTACCACATCAAAAAGTGCTAAATAGGCCAAGTGCCATGGCTCACACCTGTAATCCCAGCACTTTGGGAGGCCAAGAAGGGTGGATCGCTTGAGGTCAGGAGTTTGAGACCAGCCTGGCCAACATGGTGAAACCCTGTCCTAATAAAAATACGTAAATTAGCTGGAGGTGGTGGCAGGCATCTATAAGCTCAGCTACTTGGGAGGCTAAGGCAGGAGAATCACTCGAACGTGGGAGGCGGAGGTTATAGTGAGCTGAGATTGTGCAAATGCACCCCAGCGTGGGTGAGAGAGTGAGACTCCATCTTTTAAAAAAAAAGTGCTAAATAAAAGTGGATTGTGTAAATGAAATAAATTATAGTGATATCAAGGGGAAAATTTCAGACTACTTGATAACATACTCCATAAAATATACATTTTAAAAAGTGTTGTAGGCTGGTGCAGTGGCTCACACCTGTAATCCTAGCACTTTGGGAGGCCGAGGTGGGCAGGTCACCTGAGGTCAGGAGTTCAAGAACAGCCTGGCCAACATGATGAAACCCTGCCTCTATCAAAAAAGTACAAAAATTAGCCAGGCATGGTGGCACATGCCTCTAGTCCCAGCTACTGGGGAGGCTGAGGTGGGAGAATCACTTGAACCCAGGAGGTGGAGGTTGCAGTGAGCTGAGATGGCACTACTGCACTCCAGCCTTCGCAACAGAATGAGACCCTGCCTCAGAAAAAAAAAGTGTTATATGAAATAAATTAAATTGAATTTAAACTAAAGGGTATTTGTTTTTAAGTATTTCACAGCACAGCTGCAGCTACTGAGAAAGTCTTAAGGGTTCTATGAAATTCATTTCATCAGAGAAATGCAGTGAGATCTCTCATACACATATATACACACACAACTCTTCCACGGACATCAGGAGGCCGTAGAATGCAAAGGAAAATTTCATGCTGGGGAAAACAAAAGAAAAAGAAAATTTAACCTGAGAAGTTTGTGAAAAGTCTTGTGAATGTAGAAAAACGATTTCGATGCAACCACTGCTGAGCTTCCTGAGGTGTGGTTGTTGGTAAGAGGTTCTGAAAGGGAGAGAGCATTTTTTAGGTAATCAAATAGATCTGTCTGTTACCCCATTAGGTAACACATAGCCAAACACACCCACATACCCACATTCTCAGACCTAGTTTGTGCAAGTTGTTTTCTCTTTCTCTAACCATGCAAGATGCTCAAGGAGTTCTAGCTTCCTTCTCTTCCCCACTAGACTGTAAGCTCCTCAGATGGAAGGGTCCTGCATTACTTGTTTCATATCTTTAGTCCCTAGCACAGTATCTGGTTCATAGCCAAAATTCAATAAATGTTTGTTTAATGAATGAATGAATAATATTCCCTAAAAGCTGGGCATTTCTACTGAATTGGACAGTCTTCAAAGTATTACTAGACATTGCAAGTAACTAACATTCAACTTTAGACTTACATCTGTGACTGGAGGGGGTGGCTCTGGCTGGTGGTTTGGTGAACCATTTCTAAAGAAACATTTAAAATGAAAGGATGAGTCCATGACACATGCTGGGGCTCATTATTTCATTCCTCATCTTTACAACAAATCTTAAGCTAGAGATTATAAAAAAAATCTGTGCTCTCTCATAAAACATTCTTATTCTTCCACCCAATACTTTAATTTTCTATTAGTTTAACCTAAAGATTTTATGGGGAGGGGGAGAAATTATGTCATTAGCAATATTTTTTATTATTGAGGAAACTGAAGAAAATATCAAAGTTTCAATAAGTTGGGACCGATGAGATAAATTATGGCATAAGAAATACTTAACCGGCCGGGCGCGGTGGCTCAAGCCTGTAATCCCAGCACTGTGGGAGGCCGAGGCGGGTGGATCACGAGGTCAAGAGATCGAGACCATCCTGGTCAACATGGTGAAACCCCGTCTCTACTAAAAATACAAAACATTAGCTGGGCATGGTGGCGCGTGCCTGTAATCCCAGCTACTCAGGAGGCTGGGGCAGGAGAATCGCCTGAACCCGGGAGGCGGAGGTTGTGGTGAGCCGAGATCGCGCCATTGCACTCCAGCCTGGGTAACAAGAGCGAACCTCCGTCTCAAAAAAAAAAAAAAAAAAAAAAAGAAATACTTAACCGATGGGCACAGTTACTCACGCCTGTAATCACAGCACTTTGGGAGGCCAAGGTGGGAGGATCATGAGGTCAGGACAGTGAGACAATCCTGGCCAACATGGTAAAACCCCATCTCTACTAAAACTACAAAAATTAGCTGGTGTGGTGGCACACACCTCTAGTCCCAACTACTAGGGAGGCTGAGGCAGGAGAATCACTTGAACTCGAGAGGTGGAGGTTGCAGTGAGCTGAGATCACACTACCGCACTCCAGCCTGGCGACAGAGCAAGACTAAAAAAAAAAGAAATTTAACCATAAATTTACTAAGATGAAAAATTGTGAAAGAATAATTGTTAAGAAAAAAATTTTTAAATAAAATGAAAAATATCAGGATAAAGAAGTTTATCAGTACAATACTACTGTAGGGAATACAAAAATATGCACACATACACAAGAAAAATATTGGAAGAAAATTTCTGCAATGCAACATGATCACACACGTTTAGAATAAAAAATAATTATTTTTAAAGCAGCTTCAAAAATTAGTGCTAATTTGTGATCCAAGAGTTATCTCCACACCCTCAGTCAGTCTTTCTCTCTTTCTTTCTTTTTGAGATGGAGTTTCGCTCGTTGCTCAGGCTGGAGCGCAGTGGCATGATCTCAGCTCACTGCAACCTCTGCCTTCTGGTTTCAAGTGATTCTCTTGCCTCAGCCTCCCGAGTAGCTGGGATTAGAGCTGCCCACCACCATGCCTGGCTAATTTTTGTATCTTTAGTACAAACAGGGTTTCACCATGTTGGCCAGGTTGGTCTTGAACTGCTTGCCTCAGCCTCCCAAAGTGCTAGGATTACAGGCATGAGCCACTGTGTCCAGCCTCAGTTTTTCTTTTTTTTTTTTTTTGAGACGGAGTTTCGCTCTTGTTGCCCAGGCTGGAGTGCAATGGCGCGATCTCGGCTCACCGCAACCTCCGCCTCCTGGGTTCAGGCAATTCTCCTGCCTCAGCCTCCTGACTGGAATCCAAGCTAGGCACGCACCACCAAGCCCAGCTAATTTTTTGTATTTTTTTTTAGTAGAGACGGGGTTTCACCATGTTGACCAGGATGGTCTCGATCTCTTGACCTCGTGATCCACCCGCCTCGGCCTCCCAAAGTGCTGGGATTACAGGCTTGAGCCACCGCGCCCGGCCCAGTTTTTCTTTATACGTTTGTTGTCTATGAATTGTCCCTCTTCCCTAATGCCTACCTTTTTTTTTTTGAGACGGAGTCTTGCCCTGTCACCAGGCTGGAGTGCAATGGAGTGATCTCAGCTCATTGCAAGCTCCGCTTTCGGGTGTTCAAGTAATTTTCCTGCCTCAGCCTTCCAAGTAACTGGGACTACAGGTGCGAAACACCATGCCCAGCTAATTTTTTTTTAAATTTTAGTAGAGACAAGGTTTCACCATGTTGGCCAAGATGGTCTCTATCTCTTGACCTTGTGATCCACCCTCCTTGGCCTCCCAAAGTGCTGGGATTACAAGCGTGAGCCACTGTGCCCAGCCA